CACCACCCATTTACTATTCTTTGAATTTGTTACACTTTTACAGAGTTATACTTCAGCACAAAACTCTAGAATTCTAAAGCATGAAGTGCTTCTAAACTCATAAAGGATTTTTTATTTCAGTCTTGATGATTTCTTGTAGTGAATATGTTAATTCTGTGCACTTCAGTGTACTCATTCTAGAAATCCTAAGTCATTTCACAGTCAAGAGAATTGGGAGAGATGTATACATTCTCTAGTATTCATTTAGGTATCATAACCTGGCATCATCTGAAAATCCTGCCCATCAATCTCCAAACTCTTTTTAGGATTTGAAGGGAAACGAAATATAAATGAGATCCGGACAAAAGATTCTCAAAAAGCAGGTGAGATTTGAAACAGAAATAAATCTCATGGAAGAGAGATGCCTTCTTCCTATTCTAAAACAGGCAACAACTCAAAAATCCATTCTTCCTTGGAAGAGTTAACTCATATTTGGGTTACTAACACAGAAAAAATAGATAAGTGAAGGAGAAAGGACACAGGGGTTAGGAACAGAAGTTGTACATAAACCAGTTTAAGTGACCAGAAACTGTTTTAAATTTATAACAGAACATAAGTCCAGTGTGCACAAACCAGTTTCAAAATGGCCAAAACTGGTTTCAGATAAACTTTGTTGAATGTACTATCAGACTGAACTGATTGAGCTCAGACTAGTTTTATGGAACTTCTGTCTGAGACCACTTCCTGGTCTAAGTTAAACCAGAGCCCCCAAGCAGATGGGCATGCTCTGCAGCCCTGGGCGGGGCTGTGCTCTCTGCTGCAATGGAGCAGAGCTTGCTCCACCACTATATTCCCTAGCCAGAGCAGGGGTAGGGACATGGCCAGATGCTGCCCCCCCTAAGGTGAAGGGGGCAGGGAAGAGTTTTATTCCCCCCCTCTGCCCCCTAACCTACTAGCACAGACCTGCCAGGCATTTATCTGCTTACTGCTCCAGCAACAGCCCCAGCATCAGCCTCAAGTTAACTGGCCTAGGAGGGGGTTTAATTCTCCCTTGCCTGTCCTACTAGCATGGACACCTGGTGCTCCCACCTCACTGCAGTAGTGGCAGGGGCAAAGGTGTGGCTAAATCCCAGCTGGCCAGTATGGCCCCTCAAGCAGAGGGGGCAGGGAGAGAGGGTTTACTCCCTCCTCTGCCCCCAGGGTACCACAGCTAGGGTCTGCCAGCCCCAACTCACACCAATCGCTTCCTGCACGCGGCAACTGGCAGAATAAACTCCCACCCTGTTCCCTTGCCTAAGGGGGCCATAACAGCCAGCCTCTAGCTTTACCCCCACCCCTACCACTGAAGCTGTGAGTGGGGAGGGACTCTGACAGGGGTAGCACCCCTTGTCATGGTTTCCAGAGGAGTGCAGGCCTCTTTCTGGCAGGAGAGCTGCTCTGCAGGCCAGGGCAGGGACAGAAGCAAAGCGGGGTGCTCAGAGATGCCACAGATTGCATGGGATGAGCAGAAGCACTGGGGCTCAGAAAGGTGGCCATAGTCCCCCCAATGTTCCCCCTAGTGCACCCCCAATGATCACCCCATGTAGTCTACAGCAGCTTTGACTGCCCACACTCATAGCACAGCCCCCCTGCCAGGAATAGGTTTGCACTCTCCAGGAAACCATGATAGGGGGAGGGACAGGGGGTTCCCTCCCCAATTGATGCTCCAACAGCAGGGGCAGTGGCACAGCCAGAGGCAAGCCAACATGGCCCCCTTGGGCCAGAGGGCAAGGAGGGTTTTATTTCTCTCTGGTGTCTGGTGGAGGGAGCAGGGAGGGGGAGATATTCCACTCCTCACCCTGCACAGGGAGTGATCAGCAGTGGTGGTCAAGGCTGGCAGACCCCGGCTGTGATCCCTTGGGGATAGAGGGAGGCAGAGTGGGGAATAAACCCCCTTCCTGCCCCCTCTGCCTCAGGAGCCATGCTGCTTGGCATCTGGCTGCACCTTTGCCCCTGCTGCAGTGAGCGAGGAGCACCAGGTGGACCCCAGCTTAGGTCCATGCTGATGCACAGGGAAGGGGGAATTAAACCCCCTCCTTGGCCAGTTCACTTGAGGCTACTGCAGGGGCTGGCCATGCCTCCCCAGCACAGCTTCCCTGCAGCTGAGAGCTG